CGGGAGACTACTAGATTGGGGGTAGGCTGGTATATATAAGATGGCCACAACGTGACGGGACAATGTGTAGGTAGTGAGTAATTGAACTGCAGTCAGAGAGTATTGTTGAAGTTGAGCACGTCATTGTTATAGCGCGACTGTTGAAATTAAGTGTATCGTAAAGTTGTATTCGGAAAGAATAAACCAATTTTATTTAAGAAAGGACTTGTGTCGCTAAAGTTTCGTCGGAACGAATTTACGGAAAATTAAGTAACGACTGGAGGCGTAACAATTCACATTTTTTTAAAAACTGATAATATCTGCTCTTGATAACTTACTTCAAGAGTATAATCCATCATTATAGAGTAGAATTTAATCTTTAGACAATTTCATAAATATGTCTTTTGAGAGTATCTGTATTAGCTTATTCTGGACTAAAGGCTCAAATACTGACGACTTTCTTAGCTGTTTGTAAACGTAGGAACTTGTTCATTCGACACGGGATCAAACTTTGCCCTCAATTCCACTTGATCAGTTCTATTTCTGGGGTATTTTAATTAAGCTATGAACATTTCTGCAAAAGCTTGATTTCTCTTTGGTAAATGCATAACATTTTCAATTATGCTATCAATGTATCTGTTAAATGCTGCTTGTCAAATTTGATTAAAGTTTGATTTATACCATCTACTGAAGAATTTGTTTTCAACCTAATTTCTTTCATTTCATGAGGCATTCCTTATGTAAGGTGCTTTTGCCATGAAATTCATTTTTTTTATATTAATGTCGTGTTAAGAAGTAAAACCTTCATTAATTAGCTGATTTTTCGTCACCAAGTATTTACATGCAGTAAGTCTAAGGATTTTTTAGCGGCCTGTGCTTAACAACAAACAAACATGAACCGATATCCAAAAGTTCAAATTGCGGTATCTGTTATTATCTTCGTTAATTTTTTATTTAAAATGTGTTGAATCCTCTTCTTCTTCTTCAATTTCCTTTGTTTTTAATGGCTGTCACTTCTTTCAATTCCTTGTCAACTGTTGCATCTGGTGATGTATTAGGAATAAAAATTATCAAGTACATGAGACATATTTTCATAGAAATTTAGTATTTTTATAATAAGTATGAATTAATTTTAATTATTGATTAACTTACTTTGTAGCTTCAGTTCTTTGTTTTGTTAACTCTCCTTCTTAATTATATGCCTTTGTAACTTTCTAAATCACTTGCCAACTGTTCTTCGTAGACTTTATTTATAAGTTATCAGTAGCGACTGTAAGCCTAATCGTACTAAGCAACTGCCTAGAGTCCATCAAAGAGATCCAACTGGGTTTGCGCTCGACAATCGCCATGACTCGTAATTCCTTCTACAACCACATCGTATAAGCATTATCAATGTTCGGTAAACAGGTGCTAGAAGGGCATGAAGCATTGTAAAATAGTGTTTGGGTATATATGAACTCAGGTGAAATTCCTGCCTAAGGCTCAAAATGTCTTAGAGCCACCACTGACAATAATTATTTCGAGTTGTATCAAGATTTGCTACCACTTAATTGACTTATGCCTACAATAATATGGCTTGTGATGATAGTTAGAAGTATGTTATTTGGACTGTTAGACCATTGTACAAAACATTAAATAAAACCAAATGATTATTGTCTATTCCATAAATGAAATTAAGATGATGAAACATACAAATTGTAAAGTTAATAACGTATTATTAAATGCTATCAGGCTACTCAGTATAATGATATTGATGATTACTTTTTGTTGTACTTAATAAAAAAGTTAAAAAATGATATAATATTTCGTATTAAACATACAGTTTTTTAAAAAAATTAAAACAAGATATCTTAAAACCTTCGAAATGTTTGTAGTACCCATTAGGCCTCGATGGTTTGGCGCCCCCTTTTATTTGAGTAACATACTCTACGTAGATACCTATCGAAAAAATTAACAAACGTTTTAGAAATATCTTTAGGAAAACCTTCTACCTTTGTAATAAAAAAATCGTCCCCTTTCTATAAAAACTATTATAAGGGTGAGTGACCTAAATTACACAACGAATAAGCAGGTTACCCAAAATAATTCTTGTGACTGATTGGAAATTGTAGTCCACAATAAATATTTACATGATAATGTACAGAGTTGATGCGTTTATAGGAATTTTCAATCTGAAAGGCATTTTATGTGTATGTGGATTAAATGTCTAGGCCAGAGCCCTGTATATTAAGAAATGCCCAAATTCTCATAATCTGGAACTACTGATCCATCACTACAAGAGCTCTGTATGGTTCTTTGAATCAAATAACAGAAGTGACTGTCACTTTTATAATACCCTCAGTTGAAAGTGTAGAATTTTGGCCCAATACGTTAGTTAAACATTAGGCCTCGTTTGACTGAGATCTATATAACCACTTTGTTACTTATCTATGTTAAACAAATTTTATACACCTTAAAAGAATTATCGTGGAAACAAAGGATAACTACTAAATTTTTATTCCAATTTATAGAGAACAATCAGTGAGAATATGATACATTATTAAGCTTAAAAGATACAAAATCTCTAATAATATTTAGTTAGGTTTAAAACCTCAGTCAGGTTTAGCATAGCATTACAAATAAAAAGTATAAATCGCTATATTACATCAATTAAAAATTCACAACATCTATATGTGTATAAAATATTACTTTAGATTTAGAATGAAAGGTACATCTCATAAATTTATTACATTCTTAACTCAAACACAAAGATTAGAATAGTTAACATTGAGCCTAAATCGGCTTATGCATAAACTAGTGCTAATAGTAATAATAATATTATGCTTAAAATTTAAAAAAATTATAACTATTCAAATTTTAATAAAGTGTAACTTAAGCTGCACTCTGACATATAAAGTTCTCAGGTAACGCTATTCTTTCCATCAAAACTTTATTGTTCAGTCATTTAATTATGTCCCTCTCTCAATGTTTCTTTCTCTTCTATTTGAATATCTACTATTCGTTCATTAGGCTTACAACTTTCGAGAGGTTTTTTAGGAGCGTCTACCGTCAAAATTCCATCCAAGCTCAAAGAAGACCGTACAGTTTCGGGATCTACTTCTTTAGGTAGCATATATCGTCGCACAAACTGTCGAGAAATAATACCGTGTTCATCTTGCTTCTCTTCGTGCTTACCCTCAATGAGAACAGAGTTTCCCACAGTTTTCACTGTTATTTCGTTGGGTGCAAAATGATTAACATCCAGTGACAGTTGGAATTTGTCTTTCTCATTCGTCACCCGAGAATGTCCACTTCCTCTGTGGCGATTACTACAACGTCTAGGTCGTAAATAGTCGTCGTAAAACATTGGCGGTAGGAAATTGCTATCGTGAATACCAAGGCCAAAATTCTGGTCACCAATTTGACTAGGATAATCCCACAAATCCCACCAATCACGTCCAAAAAAATTTGGAATTAAACTTCGAGAAAACGCCATGTCAATCCAATCTTCCAACGTTTCGTGACGGTTAGGTTACCGCTTCGAGTTTTGTATCTGTATCGTTTGTATTTTCTCGAACTGTCAGACGCCCTCTTTAGGATTTATTTCTTGTCAGTAGTTTGATAATTTTTTCAATTATCATCTCTGTTTTTTTAATGGAAGCTAGATAATAAAACGTGTTTGTATTAATTTATTCGCCTACTTCTTAGTTGAATTGTGACAAATACATTTGTTAACTTATAGGATATACTAGGACTCATTAAGTTTTTCAACTCCCTAATACACAAGAGTTTGTGTCGCAGCTTAACCTTCAGAATTTTCAAACACTAATAAAAGAATCTAATTATATGAATTCGACGTTAATGTAACTATTTATTTTACAAACCTTAAATGCAAATATCAATGACTGTTATTGCGATTGTTTTGCATAGTTGTAGCATGCAGTTCTAGAAGGGTATTCAGATACATATTTTAGTTTGTTTATTTTTGTATTTTGGGTATCGTTGTTGCTTAATCAAGAAAATGTAATATATATTAAAGATACATTTAGCAAACTTTGATGTCAGCATGTAGTGTTATAAGATGCTTATTAACATGTGTTGTTAGTACTGAATGTTATCAGAGTATGCTAAAGCTATAATAATAACGTACCGTCTTAAATATTTTGACACACTTATTTTCATTGCGTGAGTATTTTTATTTTTATGTAAGTGAAATGTACTTTTTAAGAATACGAAAGGGCTGGAAGGCAAAATAATGTAAAACCTGCTGAATCATTATTAATTAGGTGCTTTTCAGTTGACTTAGGAACTTATGATTTTTTCGAGCTAAAAGTGTTTGTTATCTCTCTTAAGAAACTTGAGATTAGATATAGTGGCTAATAGTTTGATGTGATCGAATTGACTAATAAATATCCTGATAAATGATGTAAATAATTATGTTTTTTCAAGGTATGAAATGTATACAATTTACCTGTCGAAAAGTACAAAATACCAGCAAGAAGAAAACAGGAGTCAACAACTTTACTCTTTACACACCGTTGTATATTTATGCGATTATACATTAACGTATGAAAGCAACTACATTAAAAAATCTTCATCCATACTTTAACTGACTGATCATATTATTTATTAAGTTTTTATATTTTAATAAATTACAAATAAATCACCCAACATAGCAGGTAACCTGTAGCACACAACTGTGGGCGCATGCATTTTTTGAAACAATCTATTTACTTTTTAGCATGTAAATTATCCACTCCTTACAAAAGTCTAAAACAATTATTTAAATCACTTATCAGAATATCTATTAGTCAATTTAAGAACAAAGCTACTCTTCACAAACAACAAAAGTATATATTATTATTCAATAGGTAAATTGTCCACACTTAATACCTTGAAAACTTAACATAATTCTTTACAGCATTTATCAAAACATCTATTAGTCAACTCAGTCACACCAAACGATTAGCCACTATATTTACTCTCAAATTTCTTACATTCATGCCCAAGATATTTAGGTACTTAGTATGCTTGTTAAAGTATGTTTTCTAATCAGTTAAGACTTTAAGAAGCACAGACAGCACATGAAGACTTAGGGAACGTGAAACACGATATGAAATGAGTATATATCTATCTTAATAAACTAAAAAGGTAAAGTACAGCTATAGATGTTCTGACTAGGCACCTGCACATACCTTTTTTTTTGCATAACATAAAACTGATATGTGTAGCAGTATTAGAAATTGTAAGAGCTTTATGGTTAGGGGGTTTGCTTTCAGAATATTCTTTTGTGGGAAGGGAAGGATTTTATTTGGTGACGTATGTTGAGGAGGGCATTTGAGTGCTGAATGCATAGTATGTCCACAAACATGATCTGGTCATATTCCTTAATATGTTTTTACAAGTATATCTAAAATGATACAGGTTTAAGGCTAACTAACTTTTGCATACCAAAATATATTATCCAAAAATTAAAGCCCCCCCCAAACAAACAAACAAAAACAACAACAAAAACTAGGAGTTAGGTGAAAGATTAAGTTAGAAAATGGAGCTTCCCCTCTGCTCTATGGAAAGAGGCCCGGCATGGCCAGTTGGTTAGGGCGCTCAACTCGCAATCTCAGGGTCGCGGGTTCAAATCCCCGTCACACCAAACATGCTCGCCCTTTCAGCCATGGGGAC